ATATCCAGACTAATATATGTGGATTGGAATAAGGTTCTGAAAAAAGAGGAATAAAGAAAACGGGACGAGGAGCAGAACAGAAAATATTCTTGTTCAAAGCCAAACAACGGCTTTGCACATACGTTTATGGATAAAACAAAGGTATGTTTGCTCAGACATTTTTAATATCAGAACACTTTACGCCTGCGCTTATGTAGGTTAATGAAGACAATTCAGTAGTGAGATAACTAATGAGAAGTTAGTCGAATGAATAGAGGAAATTCAGAAGAGCCAAGCTGTTAGTAATAATGTTGATTTACAAAATATAATAAAGAGGCTCAGTGATATAATTTTTTGTTTTATTTATTCTTTTTATTTTTGACTCTGAGGCTCAAGAAGTTATGAATGAGCTCTTTTTTAGTATAGTTGTCCAGACCAGTTGGTAATAGGACTTCTCGGTAGGTAGTAAAAACCAGTGCAAGGTTATTGTTGTGATTAGAAACTCGGAGGTGAAATATTTTTTTGGTAATTTTCTGTATTTCCCTTTTTGATTAAATATAGAACCGTTATTTCCCAGATTTGTTATTTTTGGACTTGGACTGGGCGAGACGCGTATGAACCTACAGCTATTTGGATTTAGAGCTCGCTGCGAGAGTAATAAGTATTTCTACAGTGATAATAGTCGATCTTGACTCAGTCACCACTAAAACTTCATGAATATATGTTGTTTATCTGAACTCACTGATAAAAAGGCTGGTAGTAATAAATGTACGAAGCTACAAAACTGTAATAATATTAACTTGTAGTGCCCCCACATAAACTTGAGTTCGCTCAAGTTTAATTTGATTACGCCTTTCGATTAACTTATGTAACCAAGCTATTTGTGTAGCAACAACCCATATGTACCATTGGTATTTTTTATTGTCTGGTTTGTATGATCTTGTACGACTCAGCATTACTTATGCCTTACTCATACTTTTTGCTCTAATGTTAATCTCCTAGTATCCCTACGAACTCACATGACTTGTCTCGCTTGCTTTTGACCTTGTCAACCATTCGTCGCTTTTATTCATGTGTGTGGATGCCTATTTGTCTGTCTCATTTTTGTCTGTCTATATATTCTTAAACGTGCTCTATTTCTTTGAGTTGGCTCATTAGCCTTCTCCAATTCACGTCGCTTCATTCGTTTTATTCACTGCTTCTACGCTTCGCTTTGTGATGTGTCCCAAATAAACGTATTCAACACTATGAGCTCAACTTCTGATTTATAAACCGTCAGACGCTATTTAGTAACGATTGTCTAGACGAGCTAATTACCGAGCTTAAGAACACGCAATAAATCGGCACACTACAAACTAAAAGGTGGTGTGAAGTTTCAAACGTACGGGATCAGTCGGCTTCATTACATTTCTGCCAGGATTTTAGATAGAAGCTCGAGGGTGTCTAGTTATTTTCCACAGCGGTTTGAGTCAAAACTCAGTAGATTTCTAAAAAATTGAAAACAAATTAGACTTACACTCTATCTTCGCAGTGCAAGATGATGACTAAAAATGTGGGCGTTCGCATACATATTTCGTTCTGAGTTTACTAGCTTCCTTTTTTAACTGTTTAATGACAATCTTATTGCGTATATTTTTTCGCTGGATCTGGACCTGACATCCTTCGATATTATTTATCTTCAACATTTATAATGACACATTTAGTCTCAAATGACGTGTTATTTGAGGCGTGCCAACTTACAGACAAGACCGACTTGTTACAGAAGCCATCATTCTAACTGTAGGACGTTGCTCAGTTATATTGATATTTACAAGATATACTGAACATGAACATAGAGTTGTAATATTTTTTGTTTGAAATTATAAATAATTTTAGGGAGATTCGAATGTACAATGTAAAAGTTGGGGGATAATTATGATGGTTGCGTTGCGACAAAAAACTGCTGGTCGAGAGCAAATGCATGTTAAGTCTGAAGCTGTTTGCATTACGAAATATTAAAGAATGTGCATACTTATTATCTTCGCAGAAATCGCCAGATAACCAATTTAAAAGGTTCCTAGCAGAAACAACTGCATGTCTCCAGAAATAGCAAGAGTAGTATTTAAGGCTCAGGATATAGTGATATGTTCAGTAAGTGCTTATTTTCGTGTATTACTACGGTGCGACATATAAAAAGGGATAAGAAGCAGAACAGTAGATGATCGTGATTAGTGTTGATTCATATAACTAAACAGATGCACGTGTGGTTAAAACAATTCAATAATAACTCCGACTTTTCCATTTCTTTATTAGATCATTTGTTGCACAATCCCGTTTGCATAGACTGAACAAAACAGGTCACTAGCACGGTGACGAATGGAAATATGAGTCAAAGTCTTGGTCGGCAACGAACAGAGACATCTGCTATATTGTAAGGAGCCCTAAGCAAACGAAATGCTGTTCCCTACCAGCTCAGGTGGGTTGATGTTATTTTCCCATCATCATCGCGTTTTCTTCATAAAAGCTCGGTCACTACATATGAAACTGCAAAGTCGATTGGGAAAGGTCGACAAGGCTTGAAAAAATGTTTTAATATTTTTATTGGTCATCTCTTATTGTCTGAAGCTGGTGGTGTGTCTAGTCTGTGTTTACGCTTACAGGGCTGTCCAGTTTTTTAAAGGAATTATATGCTGTGTTATTAGTCCCATGTGCTGTTCAGAACTCATATCAGAAACTCACATCACTATACTCACATATCACTTGTTTCTGATCCTGACGTGGATCAGAGTAAAGGGGATCCTGACACTAGACATTACTACTAGTTCAAGCTGAACACAAACCGATTGTGTACAAGGTTCATCAAAACAGTAAATTAATATATAAGTATTAAATACCTGTTAAGTTTCACGACTAAGAGAGAACCTTCAAACTTTAGTGATTGTACCCTCGAAGGTCCAAATGGCGAAAATCTTACCGACCCAGAGATAGCTGAGATTTGTAACACCAACTTCTCAGATCACTTAACCAGGTGCGTAGAAGTTCATAGTACTACTCAAACCTAGTGACATCCAATGGTCTGGGAATATCCGACTTACTCCTGACTTAGAACTAAGAAAACTAAAATTCCTTCACCTAGCAAGTGACAATATTCGGCCTGTAGTCTTGAAACAGTGTGCAGAAACTCTCAGTTTATCGGTATGTGAGCTGTTCAAGCATTTACTGGAGTCACACCAACTCCCAGATGAATAAAACGAGCTACTCTCTCTCTCCAGTCTTAAAAGGATATGGGAAGGACCCAACTTGTTACAGACCAATCTAGTTGCTACCAAAACTGTGGAAGGTGATGGAAGGCTGGTGAATAAGCAAATGAAGGAGTACATGGATAGGAACGAAATCCTCCATGAAGCTCGACACGGGTTTCGGAAAGGTAGGTTGTGCACGTCCAATCTTCTCATAGCATGAGAAGGTTGGACAAATTGTTAGGACCGAAAAATAACGGTGCACATAATATTTCTTGACTTGGCAAAATCCTTCGACACAGTACCCCACGCACTTCTAATTGCGAAGGTTGCGGAGATAGGTTTCGCTGACCCACTGATATACTGGCTTAGAAAATACCTTGCGAACAGAAAGTTTGACACCAAGGTGAATGGAGTGCAGGCGAGCTATCTTTGTTCCACTCTCCTTCCTGATATCCATTCATGATTTTTTAGATAAAATTAGCTCAGCGGAATTGACATAAGCAGTTGATGCAAAGATCCGGAGCGAGGGGGATTCGACTGAGCTTCAAAAGGACTTTACATCTATTGACGGATGGAAAGTGAAAAACGGTTCAAAACTAAACCAGTCAAAATATCTCGTTATGAACGTTTTACCCCATGTGACACCAGCGACTTAAAACCTCTTTTCAACTCCGCTCCCTAATGTCTCCTTACAGCGCCATCTCGCTTCGATAACCATAGACAGCCTATTCAGCAGTACAAAGTACATTGGTGATGCAGTAAAAACTGACACGATTCTACACCTTATGCACAGATTACTTGGTGCAATCACCCCACAACTATTCTTAACTCTCTTCGGCATACACACACACACCCATATCTTAACTTTCAAAACGTCGACACACACTTCCTTTTAGGAAGAGATATAAATCTCTTGAATCGAACACAGAAATGAATAAAATGTGTGGTAGGGGTGAAGAACAGAAGTTACGCAGGTAGATTTCAGCACTTGAGATTATTCCCTCTGGAATGCGTGGGAATCAGTGGTGATAAGATAATCTAATAATAAAATATCGAGCGCTTCAAATCATCCCAACATGACCATTTTACCGAAGCATCAGCACTCCTCCCATCGAGATAGTCCTCGAAAAACTGCTCACTAATGGGTGAACACTTCAGTTGTGGCAACTTCGAATGATCTCCTAGCTGAGATGACCACAGAGACCTCAGTAGATAGCTTCAGGAAGAGACTTGATAAACACCTACTCACATACGGTTTATCTCTCTCTTGGACCAGCAATGCTTGAAGCATGTCTCATAAACTGTCTGGTTGTTGTTGTTGTTGCCATTTCATCAAATCACTAACTTATTCCCTCCCACTCAATACAATCTCTTCCTCCTCATTTATCCTCACAATCCGATCCAACCACACTGCCTTGAATACCAATTCAGTGACTTATTTATTCATTTACTTTTGCTGAAATATTCTCATTAGCAGTAGAATTTTCTCCTCAATATTCTTCACACTGCAACTACCTGATCTCTCTCCTGGTAATGTGGTAGCTTCTGGTATCCAGAAACCCTATTGCTCTGAAACAAACGCACTGACGCACATCACGGGACATACTAATTCATAAATATCTGCCAAATGATTAGAATTTTTGCAGTAGAGTAGCAATACTACCATCCATTCGACACTATCAAATACTTGTAAGCGTGCAAACAGAATAAGAAGCAAGAACAAAAATGTCAGCTGGCTTATCACTATTGCAAGAATGGGTTTGTTTTAATTTATCAATCTTACTTTATATATGTATACAACAAAGCTACGATGGTTCGAGTTGATCAATTTTGGCAAGACCATAGAAGATATATTTGTGATATAAATTCGCTGGAGAATATTGTCATCTCCAACAATGTAGTCGGTTCGAGCGATCGGCTTAGGAAGGTTCTAAATGATACGTACATGGAACTGCTTCACAAGTTCGAAGACTGCTTTCCTAAAATAATCACAGCTGCTCAATTCTTACATTGGAGTTTAATCAGGACAAAAATTGCAACAAACCACTTGGAGATGGGAAATACATTAATTGGTAAAGTTGTTGTTGGTTAACATATAAATTTAAGCCAATGAAATCGTACATCCTTGCGTGAATAGTAAAATAACTTGTATAACAGTCGATTCCCTCATCCGAAAGCTGGTGGTCAAGGGTAAATTTATCTGACCTATGATCGTGTACAGATTCATTTGAAATAAAATTTATCACATCTGCCGAAACAGTACTTTTTGACACGGTTGCTGGTGTCTTACTGATATTATTCAATGTACTTGCTGTCATAAACGTCAGAAATATCGAAAATAAACAGTCTCCGTCAAGTTTTAATGATTCTATGCACTGGCTAACTTGCGCTCAAAGAGTTTACGAGTTTTACAGTCACCATAATCCATCGAGTATCGGTCCTGAATTTTGGGATACATTATTGTATTCAGGACCGAATAAGGTAAATGAATTCTATGAGGTTAAAGATCTCAGTAAACAAAATCTGTCGGTATGCCGTTTAAAGTTCGAGAATGAGTACACAAAAACCATATTTTTGATTGCACAGGTTCGTTGAATTTCGATCATACTGTTTTTTAATTTTTTGAAAGTGATACCCTAGCATTTTATGCATAAAATACCGTTTTGATCATCAGCAATATTACTTTTGAAAAAACTTAAATTCCAGTTATAGTTGCGAAAGAAATACACTCTTAAAAGAGGATGGGAATCGTCCTCGCGACTTCTAAAGGAACTCGGCTTTCATTATGAGACGTCATTACTCTTCTAAATGAAGACCTGAATCACAGAGCAGAGTTTAGATGGTTTGAATCATGTTTTCTGGTTAGCGTCTTTTAGCGCGTTAGTCTTCTATGGGATTGGCTCGCCAACCTCATGCCTAACTCCTCTCCCTTATCTGGGCTTGGAACTCGCGGTAGCCTCGGAGGGGTTCCAGACGGGGTTTTCGTATTTGTAAATGTATTCATTTCAGTAATTACCAAGATTTTTATAGGAATAAACACATTTTTAAATATTAAAACGCCACCTAAAACCCGTCTTGGACTGCTGCTGGTGAGTATATAAAGAAAATCGAACCTCTCAAGAGAATGTAAAAGATAAAGGCATTTTAAGTAATGTATAGATTATTCGAAATAAATCTGTAATCTGTCATAAAATAAGATAAAGTGGATGAGGTTGACGGTAAGTAAACAACGGTGATTTTTCAAAGTTGTGATGTGTAGCACTAAAAATGTAAAGTATGTCTGGGAAAAGTATTTTTCCTGCTATTGTTCATATTGTTTCAGTTTTCAAGTTATTTCTGTTCAGTGTTTTTGATAGTTAATTCTCTTCTAACGCATATTGGTTTTCCGTCAAATTGTTTGCGGGTGTGAGAATATCTCATCTTTAGAAATTCGTTGAATAACGTCGAGTGTCATCTACTTTTAGGGATCAGGTAATATATAAAAAGGAGCCTTCCATTAGGAGCTCTACATCAGTATATTTCTTTAAAATGCCATCTACAGTCATGAATTCAACCTCACATGATAAGAAGTATATCATTTAACAATCCCACTTTTTGAGAATGATTTTACTACTGATTTCTCCTGGGTTGGAGTTTTATTCTTTAGTTCAACATTTCTTTCTTGGTATTGAATTACATTAGAAGTAAATCTCATTTTGAAAAGAATGTATGGATCAAAAGGCTTCTGAAAGGACCTTATTGGTTATATCCTGAAGAGCTAAACTAATTATATATTCCACTGTCTTGTATTCGCCTACTTCTTGCGCTTCTAGAACAAGTAATCGTAGTGTATGTATTTAATGTTATGCTGATTCTCAAATCTGTTCAAAAACGTATTGTAATAACCATAAGTCAGACAGTGATCACCGACAGAGGAAAGGCTGTAAGCCCATATGATTGTATTCCATCCAAATAATAAGTAAAGCCGGTAATTATGTAAAAGGTTGCTATTATTTTCAATGGGCAAAATGAATTTTCAGTAGCCTTAAGGTTTTTTGAAACGAAATTCTGTTAAAAGAATCTTCTTTGTTTTATATCAATTCATCAGTAATTCATCAGTTCATTTCTATACAATTCATAATTGCTTAAACGCTCAGGTAAATATTTAAAACATACAATCAATTTTTCTATAAATAAAACTGACGAAATCATTTTCATTTCATTCAGGTGCACCAGTTGATCGGGAGCCAGGCTCAATCAGCTAATTATTGTCAACTGACTTTGTTACGTCAATTGACATTCGGCAAATCTTTTGAAGAAGCTATATATAGCAATTATTGTTTACAAAATAACATAATTCGTATCAAGTCAGCCTATTCACTTGAAGATTTATGGGAAAGAAAATTTTTTAAACGAAATTTAAAAAAGATTCATCCTTGTCACCGTTCCCAGGTCTTTGATCCTATAGAATGGGCTACAAATGCTGTTGCTTTAAGTAACTATTTTTCATCCATTGAAAACCAGAACAACTGCTTTTACAAAACATTCGAGTGTTTACTATCAGCTGTTCAGTAAGAAAAATTGTTGTGCATTTGAGTCTATGTATAATAATGATTTGCCTATCCATAAATCCATGTATAAAGTCATATTTGTTACCGAAAATTGTCAGTTCTGTTATATGGTGGTGAAGAACACAGTCACTAAAAGTATAGTAGAGAAATTGTCGAAAATCAATAAATAATCTTTAAAAACCCATTAACTGATTACAGAAATATTCTCTTGATGAAACTGCATTCTGTAAGTTGAATGGTTTGTTTGTGGAGCCTTCAATGTCTCCCACATGCCGTTATCAGCACATACGTAAAAGTTTATGAAATACATGATGATGATGATGATGTCTTATAGACAATTAAAGTCTTAATGCAAATTCACACAGGTAAGAGAAATTCACTCAATTAAAATTATCATCCTGAAATTCGAACCTCTTCTACAACCCTAAAAAATCTGGTGTTTTTAGTTGATTACAAGTAAGCGTATAATCTAATATAGTCTAATCACATAATATATACGTCCTTTTCAAATTATTAGAGTGCTAAGTTCTATTTGAAAACGACTAAGGTCTGTTCTATCCGTGAGAAAGCTTGAAAAAGAACTACTCAGATAGCTAATAATTTTCACTTTTTTTTAAAAAAAAAACGTTTATTTAATTGACCATCAATCTGTTAGTATTAATAGATTCTTCAAGTTTAAAAGCATTTCATTCAGCCCATACGTCAGTAAATAGTTTGATGCTTTCTTATTGGCTAACATCTTAAGCTTTTATACCGTATCATATTTATATTTAGTGTAATCTATTGTGGCAATTAAGTAATGAAACACCTGAAGTGAGAGTAATACTCATTTGTTTCTGTATACAATTCACAGGCTTTTTTTAATTTTGTCTAATTTAAAGTGGGAAATAGTGTTTTAATCATTAAAAATCAAAGGGCTGATAATATCACTAAATGCTGTTTACAATCACTGATGTTTACAAAATTAAACTTTGGTAATAACATAAAAAAGTAATTTACCACAACGGATCATTATAACTTAGTGAAGAAATTTAATATGAAATTACAGACTATGTTATTTGTTGTTCAATCGCTCTATTTCAGTGTTGTGGAAGAAGCTAGATTTGACGGCAGTATTCCATCCAGTCAAGCAGACCATACTCTAGCAAACATTTATTGCGATCTAGTAAAGACGGGCCTTGTTCTACTTGAGAAAGGCACTAAACAATATGAGAATTTATCTAATGAAAATGTAAAAAGTGAAGATGCGGAGTTTAAGAAATCTCAAGAATTAAATAGTGGTAAGTCAATAACTGATATTAAGTGAAGTCTTCACTTAATAAATCAATTTTAGACATTAGAAAATGTTGAACATTAGTCTTAGATTTCAAATAAATTAATAAGTATACAAAGTTAGAATCACCTTCGTTTGAACCAGTTAGTGTCATTGGTTAAAAATGTTTGGTTCATGTTTGTTTAAATAAGTAAAACTCAGCGAGTTTTGTACTTGAAGAAACTTAGTTTCAAATTATTGAAAATTCTCATATAACTGAAATGAAATATTTCCATTTTATTATTAATATCAATGCATGAAATATATCAAACCAATCAAGAAAATTTTGAGGTTAATGATATCATTCAAAAAAGATGATATAACCAATCAAACTACGTTAAAAAAAACACCAAATTGTAGTATGATGACAGATGTAGTAGTAATTATAAGGAATGACAGACAGATACAACACAGAACTTCGTACGTACGTACGTCAGTTCAGGTTGTCATACCGCATTAGCACAGAGATGCAATTGTCAGTTCAAATCCAATAGTGATAAAGATAACAGAAGTATTAGCGGTAATGGAGAAGATTAGGGTTAAAAGATATTATTTAAGAAGTATAATTCAGTGAGATAACTTCAGAAAGAGAGAGATAGTGGTGGAGAAGAACTCAGAAGATTAGAATTTGAGAGAACACAAAGAGTGGATGCATTTGCGCCATTGCGAACGGTTTTGAGCGATGTCGTTCAAGGTATTTAACCATCGGTTACATAGTCTCGCGGACCCTAACCTGGTAGTCTACATCTACCAACGTAACTCATTCCAGTTGTTAGTGTTTTCATGGATTTCTACCATGTTTTGGTTTGGTAGCCCCTATTTTTTTTCAAACCTACTCCTACACCACAAAACAGCTCGTCGTAATTCCTGTCCCAACCACCTAAACTGATGAAGTTTCAATAATTCATCTATTGATTTGCTATCCCTACCTAGTGCTTGGTTGAATATGTAGAATTTATTCTTCAGTAACAGTAAAAATGGTTTTAACCGATTAAAAGGTAATTAGAATTATCTGTATTATATTTTGTTAGTTAAAAGTGGATGTAAAATGCCAGACATTACTTTCATAACTGTCAGTGCTCATCACAGTCTTCATGATACTAATATATTTACCTTAAATCTTGACACATATCATATAGAACTATAGTTAGCCTTCGGTGTTGAACAAATTTCATTACGATTTATTCTTTTAATTGACTAGAGAATATACTCTGATCACCCCATGCAATAACCAGTATGATATATATATCCTGATTCTAATATAAGATATATAACTATGATTTCATAATGCGACCAATAGAATAATTTAAATGTAACTGAATTAAAATAGTCTGGAAAAGCATTTTAACTGACATTACTAAGGTAATCAGTTTAATTCTTTTAAATTCATGTAGACTATGCGATTGAAACCACTTTGAGTTGTACAGCTAAGGAAGCAATGATTAATTATACCTTTTGAACGGATAGTATTTTGTCATTTATTTGGTGAAAAATAAGATATATTACTGTTTTGATATTTATTTTCAGTAACTAAATTTGGATCAATGTTCAATTTGAAGCTACAATCATTAGTTGTTAAATTATTAGATTATAATGTTGACATGAGAAATCCTGTTTCACATACAGTTTCACAGAATAGCGATTTAGTCGATGATATAGTCAAACCGCCTATAAATTATAAAACCGCCTCTGGAATATTTCGCATGATACTACATTGTATAATGAAAGCTGAAAACTTTTATACACTACAAAATCATTGTTCGGATGCAGTTGCTTTGATTCAAGATAAAAGTAAAGCTTATCGATTGATGGCTATTTTTGAAAAGAACATTAATAGACAGGTAATTATGACTGGCATCTTTATTTTTATGGGGGGGGGGGATCAAGTTTATTTTATATTTCATATACATTTATTTATGGTTAAATTATGATAACTCAAAGTTGTTTATCTAATTTATTGAAATTTGAACTATTTGGCTTATCTACCACTTGGACTTTAGATGAAAATCTCGGGGATTTTTGTACAGCAAGCAAAAAGAGGTAAACTTCATTTCAGTTAGAGAAACAATTAACATGTTGCGAAAATAAATTAGATATCCTAATTTTAATCTAAGCTCCCAACTGTCGTCCGATATCGTTTTCAGTGATTTATTTGACTTCATGTCTGTCGAAAAGTATTTCTCATCATTTCAAACAAAAGGAAGACATTTCTGCTTACCGTATTCAGATATTTATTTTATGTTAACAGACTAGAATATGGATACTGGTGAAAATATTGATAGTCAGTGTATAACTATTTTCTAAATAAAAATCTTGCATCTTTGGGTCGTATCAGGAGGTTAGTTAAACTTTGAGTAAGGTGAAGATTCGGCTGAACATATTGATGGACTATCTATACTGTTTGAGTATTCCATGTTCTAGTATATAAATCATGTAATAGTAATTCTGGGAAAATTAACTGAAAGAATTGTTTTGTTAAACAGACCAATAGAAATTATTAACACACGTTGGTAATTTTGGTAGTCTGTATTCAATATGATTGTTTCAATGTTCAATATCTTTAACCATTTTCAATCGCAAACGATTTTCTTTTACCCAGTTCCGCTATCTGATACGAGTATGTTTTTTTCTGTCTACCACATATAAGATTCATGAATTCCAGTGTATTCATTTCGAGTTTTTTCAAACAATAGATAAAGGGCGAAAAACAAGCCAACAACTGCATTATTTCCATTCGAGTCTTTCATTATTCAGCATCGGATTGCTGTTTAAGATTTTTGACTTGGAATATGCCGATGACATGGTCCTACTTGGTGAAGACGCTGTCAAAGTGTAGTCTTATTACCAATTTAAGCGACGATGCTAGCGTGTTCGAATTGCGATTTTCCCCGTCGAAATGCAAAATGTTGCTTCAAGATTGGGTTTCATCGTCACCTGAACTAGTGATAGGGAAATAAGCAGATGAGCGCGTTGACCGCTTCACTTATCTCGGGAGTCTCATCAGTGCTGATTGCCCTGGTTACTGAGGAAATCTAAGGACGGATACAGAAGGCTCGATTGGCTTTTGCCAACATTTGTCATTTATGGCGCAGGCGTGATACCCCTTTGCTAACCAAAGGTCGAGTGTACTGCACAGTGGTCCGCTCCATCCTACTTTACGGCTGTGAAACATGACCAGTAAGAATAGAAGATATTCGTAGGTTGCTGGTTTTCGATCATAGGTGTCTTCGAAGCACTGCTCGTATATCCTGGGACACGTGAGTGAGCAACGCTGTTATTAGGAAACGGGTGCTCGGTAAGAATGGCAGATTAATAGATGAAGTAATGAAACTTCATCAGTTGAGGTGGTTGGGACATGTGTTACGTATGCCTAACCACCGTCTGCCTCGACGAGCTTTGTTTTGTAGTGTAGGAGTAGGTTGGAAGAAACTTAGGGGCGGCCAGACCAAAACATGGCAGAAATCCATGAAGTCACTGACAAGTGGACTGAGTCATGTCGGTAATTGTCGACTACCTGGTTGGGGTCCGCGAGATGATAATAATCGATGGTTAGAGACCTTGAATGACATGGCTCGAAACCGCTTGCATTGGCGCAGGTGCATTTATTCTTTGTGTTCTCTCAAATCCTAATCTTCTGGTTTCTTCAACACCTCTAGTTTTGTTTTTTCTAAACGTATCTCACTAAATCGTACTTCTTGAATAATATCTTCTAATCCTAACCTCTCCGATTACTGCTAATACCTTTACTACGTCTACTACTATTGGAATTGAATTGACAATTACATCTCTGTGTTAATGTGATATGGCAACATGAACTGATGTACTTACGTACGAAGTTCTACGTTGCATCTGACTGACTGACTGACTTAAGATTTTTGTTATATTAAGTTACACATGTACAAAAGTTATCTATATACTTTCAATTGAATAACTTTTGTATAGCACACGATATTATTTTGAAATATTTTTTTTTAGTGTTGTATGCATAAACGACGAATAGACATGTTAACTAATGTCTTGGAACAATTGAATTCAAATCATTATTTACATACATGTCGTCAGTTAACATTCGAACTAGCAGAAGCTTTGGGTACTTTACGAGATTTGAAAAAGAAACTATTGGATGAGGTTAGTAGCACGTACTGTTCAATGACGGATTTTTCAAAATTAAATCTATAAATATTGATATTATTCAGTGAATATTTATCACGTACTGGATATTATCATGCCATTTATATTAATTTGTATTGATAATAGAGATTTTTAAAACAAGAGAGATTGATTCAATGATGAAATTTCTGTTTCATAGTTTAATTCTCATAGCTCAACATAAGTTATTGTATAAAACTTTAATATTGCTAATCTATAATATGCTTGTTAATAAAAATATTTTATTGAAAATGTCAAAAAAGTACAAAAGGGATAAATAGGCTATTTGCATTACAATAACCAAAGTACTATGGAACTTGAAAGATCAATTCTAAAAACCCACATTAACTAGATGGAGCTTGGTAACTAGGTTGATTGTTTAAACAATATAATAAGATAAATTTGGAAATAAAATATAACCAGAAGAGTATGGGGACATGAATAGACCAGTTTTGTCATGAGTAAGATGGGAGGATGATGGTTAACTAAACTTGTAGTTTATGAATATTTTAGCAGAAAAGGTTCATTTATATCCATTTATTTCAAGATTCCTTTTAGATATGACCAGTGCTCTAGAGTAGTACTAAAATGAATTTGGTTTCAATTGATTTTTCGCTTTGCCTCATTCATAATATCCGTATATTCTTAAAAACCTTCCTTTATAATATTCACAATATATAATTAGGCAAATTAACCATCAGTTGGCAATGGTAATTTTACATTGGTTTTCAGGAGAATCAAGGAGACTGCCCACATGTTAACATTTCAACATGAATAGTTGGGCTCAATCCCGTGGCTCAACCACACAGGTACCTGACACCGTGGTGGGCCACTGCATAATATTAATATCATCACTTAACTGTTGATAACAAAAACAACCTAAATATAACTGTGTTGTGTGATAAAAACTTAGGATTCATTGGGAAGATCAATTTGATTTAAAATGACATGACCTAATATTCAGTAAATTAGTTTTAAATTATGAAATACCAATAAAGTTCAAGTTGATTGATGAATAAATAGGAGTAATTTAAAAGCTTGTAAAGTAATGCACTGTAAAATCTGTTTTAGCCGTAAACTGTGGTGGTGTTTCGTTCTCTGAGCTGGTTGTTTTGGTTGTGGAGCTTTCATTGTTCTTCTGAACAACATCGTCAGCACAAACTTCAGATAGAAGTTAAGTATTCGAATTTCTCCACGTATGACCTGTAGCTTGTTCTGCTAACCTCGATCTTGATGGGTTGCTGTTGACCTTAAACCTGTCGTTGTTTGCACATTTGTTTTGACTGTATCCCATTTTTGAACTGTTTCTTGATCCTATGTCCCCTATGATTTTTCTGGTTGGTTGATAAATTGGGTCAATGTCGATGTGTTTATTGATTGCTGATTGACTTGAGTGCCAAGACATAGGATCAAGAAACAGTTCAAAAAGGGGATACAATCAAAACAAGGGTGCAAACAACGACAGGTTTAAAGTCAACAACAACCAATCAAGATCGAGGTTAGCAGAACAAGCTACAGGTCAAACGTGGAGAAATTCGAATACTTAACTTCTATCTGAAGTTTGTGCTGACGATGTTGTTCAGAAGAACAATGAAAGCTCCACAACCAACTCAACCAGCTCAGAGAACGAAACACCACCACAATCATCCACCTGAGCTACAAGTTTTCTCCACCATCTCAAAATCATATTAGCTGTAAACTTCTAGTTGAGGTAAGAACCTGTAGCTAAAATTGATTTTGTTTCACAGTTATCATAATTTTCTGACCACTTTAATCTTACCTATAGGATTGGCATGAACTGTTTTCATGCATTCACAAAATATGATACACTGACTATTTTACAGAATTTGTGGCATTACAATAACTGGCCTTCTAGGATCTAATGAGTTTAATAGATTGTTTTCATATGTATATAGATTAGCAGACTTAAAATAAAATGGAAGTCATTCATTGGAATAGAAGGGTAGAACTTACATCCTTCAAAGTAAGAGACCGAGGGAGAGAGAGACTGTATTCATAATCCCCAATTAAAACACAAAACAAGTATTTTAGTAATGTAGTTGTTTTGTAGGAGAGATTGGTATGGTAGGGTGAGAACAATTATGAATAATAAATGGCATTATAGAAACAATAAGTGGAGATTATCATTCTATAGACATTAACAATCAATGTTATTTTCAGTTACATAAACTTAAAGACGAACAGTATATTGGAAAACTGTAATTCCAGATCCCTTTTTAGATTAAAAAATAATGACTTTACAAATGAAATAATAGTATTAAATAATCAAATGAACACAAATATGCTGAAAATTGCTATGTGCAAGTTAAAAATTCTTTGTTTACGGTTTTAAATTTCAACTAATAATCAATGAAGAGATCTTATACTGAATTTTTAAACGCAAGCATATCTCAAATATAATTGTAATTACTGCAGATATGGCTTGTTGTTATATATGCACGTTTATCATTATTCTTCAATAGGTTTCAGTTAAAGGAGGTCAAGATTCAGTACATTATGCTCGCAAGTCAAATGATCTTACAAAACGTACAATATCTGTTTATCAAAATTTCCTAAAATTATATGGAGTTAACTCTGGAACAGCAACAATAAATTTCAGTGACGATGATATAAAACCACTGATCGTAAGTTCTTTTTTACATATTTCAAAATGATCAGGAAAGGATTTTAAGATATTTAACCGAGTTCAATTACGCTTGATTATGTATCAATATCGGCGGTAAGCCATTGTAAACCATGGTGGGATTTCACTGATGTTTCATCCTAGTTTCTAACTGTGTGCAGTAGTGCATCCGAAACGTCATATGGTGCGAATACATGTTATTCACGTCACCTGACGAGTTCATTAGATTAAGATCACTGAGTGAAGACACAAAAAGTGACATTTCCAAGTTCAGTCAGTCTGTGATTAATCCACAGAGGTCATCTAATGCCATCTGTCTTATATAGTAGTTATCGAATTCAACTGATTTAGGCTCGTCATGAGTCCTTAATACAATGCAAAGCGTTCTTCATTAATACCTAGCTTCCACTGGTTCTTTAGCTAATTTCATTCTGTGCTAGCGACTAATTTTAAATCTGGTCCCAATCATCACCAACATTTAATAATGGAAATTTAGGAATTTTCCAAAAATTTGAGTCCAGTTCTCATTGCAAGTTAACGGAGTACTTCAAAGCTTTTAAACCACTGTAATGATAACACTGTATTTTGCTCTACTTCTAAATGTTCTACTTGACAGTAGTAAACTGTGAAAATGATAGATACATATATTAAACTTGTGAAAAAAACTTAACCGAACATGGTGAAAAATTAGGCCAATCACCTAGGAGTAAAAACGGTATTTTCTTTTTTTAAGAATGATATTGAAAGTGATTCATGAGTTTTGTAAATGACAGGCCAAAACGATTTGCATAGAACTATAGCAGTAACAGTACATTTGTAACATAATTATGTGTATATTGATTCCTCTCATTACTGAGGTATGAATGCAATACATAGTTACTGTTACTAGCATTGTTTGATTCTATGTAACAAATCAATTACATCATCCGCTTTTTCTGGAATATCCCTTAGGTCGAACGGAGAAATCGAAACAACAGCTTAGGATGTCATGAAGTAAGACCAAACTCTTTAGATTTTCGTAAACTATGCTTGAACTGATTTAAGTAGATAATCGAATTGAGGTGAACCGCGAGAGAGATCGATAATTGAGGAATATTTTCAATCATTCCCGATGCATACAAATAAGATTTAACATGCGCAATCGCTGATAAATACAGATAAGCTCAGTAGTGTGTTTAGGTTGAATGTACTTTAAGTTAGTCAGAAACCTTAAATACATTTGGGCACTAAGGATCAACCACTAGATATTATCATTTATTATAATCGATTCTTAGTAGATATTCATGAAAGAGTTTCAAAATATTGAACATTCCTAACGTTAAGACATTTGTATCGATTACACTTTTCCAGGTGACCTATCTTTATACAGCTCGACTCTATTCTCAGCTTATTTCGACTGGTACTACGGAGAAAATTCAAAACGTATCAAAGGCTTTGGACTTTTACTTACAACTGGTCACTCTTGCTGAAAACCATATAAAACGTTTTCCCAAGTCGGCGATAAAAGATTGTGAAGAACTAAAAATAGCTAAGGAAATGGTTGCCTTATTGCCCCTTAAACTTAGTCGACTCTCTCAAGGAGAACTGCTATCTGATTGACCAAAATCAAGCCAATAACTTTCCTCCATTTAATGTAAATAATTTCTTTATTGACTTTTGTTTATGCTTACGCCTGTGAAATAAATAGTACTACGATTACGTTTAAATGCTCCAAAGTTTATTCTGCAGACAGTTTTTGCTTAGGTGCTTGATTAGTTTATTTCCGTTCGCTTATTGTGGGTTTAGTCAATTGATTCGGATCATTACGCCCATGAAAATAAACAGCATTCTGGAAAAGTCTAGCATTTTCTTAGAGTAATGTGATATTTATTGATAGTCAAGCCGCAGCTGAAAGAGTTGAATTCAACTTGTTATTGCCAGCATTCCGATAAGTAAAGCGGTAGATAAACCCAATTCATCTTATACTCCTAAGATGCTAGATAAATAAGCACTGGCGGTACGGTCCATGGTAGATTGGCATGACCACAATGAATGCCCATTATAATGACCTCATTCCAAACGTCGATGGGATAAATACATTAAACTGGAGGAACATTTGCAAAAAAAATTAAGAACTTTTCGGGAGATGTCACGGAACAAATCATGATAAACATTCCTGTAATGTCATTGGAAAATCTTCGGTTTTCAGGAGTTCAGTTTTGTCATTTTAGTCCAGTATCCAATATCTTTCTCACGAGCCAGTATGAATCAGTTGATTTATTTGCGCTCGATTCTTGTTTTTGAGGTACGGTTCCATAAGTTTAAACCTCAAAGATTTTCCTGACGGTGGTAGTATCGTTAGAGAGCGTCATAGAAATAAGATAATAATTTAGTCGGTCATTATCTTTAACTAATAGTTTGAAGGCTATATAGAAGAGAAGAAGACTGATCACGGTTTTCGACCGACGACAGTACGTGTTAAAAACTAGCGTAGTCTGTATTACTGTTAAGTGTCCACAAGGCTATTAGTTTTACGAATTTATTTACCACCGACAGCACCGTCAATCACCAGATGCAAACGATTTTCAAGTGTGTTTTCTTACTGAAAACATCTTTTAAGATATTTTACACCTAATATACATTTAGTAGGAGATGATTGAAGAGTTCAAGTCTGAAGTATGGTACCCTAAAAACATAGAAGAAAGATGGATAAATGGTAAGGAAAGTGTATATCAGCATAGTTAGGAGTAGGCTTTCTAGCAATCGAAGCTGAGCTGTGCTATTGTATGGATATACCTGATTTTATGCCTTCACTTAGTAGTACATATTGAAAGTCGTATGGTTGAGATCCATTTTTATGAAGCTATATTTTGTTGAATAGGAATAGGTCAGTGTTTTATGATGATGATTGTATGTATGCATGTATAGTCCTAGCGGGAATTTTCGATACATGAGGAAGTATGAGTTTATTAACTCTCCTCATGGAGTTATTAACTGGGATCTTTAATTCCCTCGTCTAGAAAAGCATCAAAGATTGGATGTAAAACCTCGTATGCGACTTGGTTCTTTTGATTCGGTTATTTTGAGCTACTTTGTCAAGTGCGGTAACGAGGTTGTCCTATGATATTTTGTTAGAGTTTTCTTCGTTTACTTAGTATGTTAAATCCTATTATTAGACCACCATCTAGTAACTTGGTAAGCACAGTTCAGATTGTTCAATATCCAATATCTTTTTCACGAGCTAGTGTAAACCAATTTGATTTCTTCGCGCTCGATTCTTGTTCTTTCGGTGCGGTTCCAGGTGTTCGGTAATGTCCAATGGATGGAGGTCTAGCCACTCGACTGTCTAATTCTAGTCAGTTGGCAGTTGGTTGTGAGTTTGTATGTCTCGGGATTTGAATGAAACGTTTGTTTCAGGGCAGTAGGGTTTCTGGATACTAGCAGCCGTCACATTACCAAACCGGAGATCAGTTAGTTGCAATGTGGAGAGTAATAAGGATATAGATGAATTTAGATTGCTAATTGGCAGTGAAGATTGTGAGAGAGGACCGAAATGTTAGCATGGGAGAGGAAAAAGAAATAATAGGCGAGATAGATTAGTTGAGTGATCTGAAGAGATGGCAATGGTAACAACTAGCAGGTCTCAAGATATGCATCAGGCACAGCTTGTCGAAGAGGGAGATGATAGTCCGCATGTGAGTACGTGATTATCAAGTCTCTTCTTAAAGCAGTCCACTGAGGGGGCTGTAACTACCTCGGCTGGGAGAGCATTCCAAGTTGCGACAACTCGCAATGAGAAAAAGTGTGCACGAATCTGAGTGTTTGCTCTTTGATGTGCAATCTTTTGAGGATTGCCTCGAGGGGAGTGGTGGTGATGCATCGGTAAGATGCTCACATTGGGATGGTTTGGCGTGTTTAATATGGTGTATGCCATAATCAGGTTACCTCTGATTCTCCTGTAGCTCAGTGGGAATAATCCCAAGAGCTGGGGTCTATCTTCGTGCGGTTTATTTTTCAACCCTATCACCCATTTGTTTGCTCGTCTCTGCACTCGATCCAAGAGATTAATGTCTCTTTTAAGCAGAGGGGGTGCGATGACGTTGTGAACCTCCAAGTGTGGGCGCGCGTACGTCTTAAAGAGGGTTAAAAATAATTTCGGGGTTATAGCACCAAGCTGTCTTCGCATAAAGTGAAGAGTCGCATTTGCCTTGGCTGCATCCCCTACATAGTTCGGACTCGTGTGGAGGCTTTCTGTGGTTAGTAAACCAAGATCGCGCTCTGAGGAGACATTAGGGAGCGGACTTCCATTGAGAGTGTAGGTGGTGTTAGACTGTATCATCGTCAGATTTGTTTACGAACCTTATCTGTCTCCGTGTAAAAGATTTATATCCCTTTTCATGACAGAGAGGCAACAAATTCATGATTTTGAAATGGAGGGCAGGTAGAAGTCAGGAAGTTGTTAAAAGTAGTTTGGGGTCAGTACATTGCATTTGTTTCTGCATAATGTGAAAATTTAGGTCTCTTCGAAAACACTCCTAGCGTAACTTCCTCTGGGGTTCTCTTGTAGCTAAAAGGTATAGATCATGCTCTAAGGAATGACCGCTAGTACATATATTATATCTGTTTAGCATTTATTGATATACTCGACCGTCTACCAGAGATTTTAGTTACCATGACCACGTATTTAGTTCCACTAATTTGGTTTCTTCCATTAGCTTACGAACTTCATTAGCATCAAAAGTTTTTGAATAGAAACCAAGTGAATGCAAGTGATTCGATGGATATTCCGTATCTTCTTTTTCACCAGTATTCACTTATCCTACTTCTCTACACAGTACCATTCTTTACAAATTGCTCGCTGAAATATCGATTAAATGACGAATACAGGTCCTGTTCAGCAGCACAGTAGTGTGGGGTCATCATTGAAACAAATAGACCTTTCAAAATTCAAAATACGATTTTATAAAATACGACGGCTATGTAAAGTGAAAAAGTAAATGTCTACTTCAAACATTGCTTTAATCGCACCTGATGTATTGGGATAGCTCAATAATACTTAACCCAAACTGTTACACACTCGATGAAACCTAAGTTACCAGAAGTATATAAACAACGAACGCATTGCCATGGAAAATGATGTGTCTGTTGAGAAGCTATTATTTTGTTATAGGCTGTAATTAGGGGATATCTCAAATTCTAAACTCGTAAAGTACAAATGCAAGGAAATCATCTGATAGATAAATAGTTCTGCGAGTTTTCGACATCGTTTTAACATATTTCTGAGGTAGCGTAGCACGACGAACCCAATGTTGTGTTACACGATCACTTAAGTGTTTTCAGTAAAAATAATGAGGTCAACGTTAATATCAAATTTTTGTGAGAATTTGCTGCTACAGTGAGTAGAATGACTCAGGTTTCATCATAGAATTGATTTACCTTTTCACCAAAGTGGATTGAGAAAATTCCAACCACTATGATAAGTCAGCAGCATACGCTCAATAATATACTCCCAAGCACTGGACATGTGCGAAATTCACTCTATCCCTGCCAACTTGCTTCCTACGTGGGACAAAATTAACATTACGATTATGGATGAATTTCTGGTTCCATTCTTGCGTCGTATATACTCACACAGTTTTTATATTAGTATTCATCTCCTTCAAAACTTACATCTCGCTTATTTATCCCTTCCTTTCTTAAATCTATTAATTACCATGTTCAGAAATAGCGTTGTTATCAGCCCTTAGACTATAACAACTAGGAAAACTACCGGAGGTGAATGAGTAAAAAACCCCGGTATTTAACTACAGAGTTGTGAAAAAAACTCAAAACGTCACTCAACATTGTACCTCAGAGTAATGTGCATAATCCAGATCGCCTGACTCAACCATCTCCACTGGATCCTCAGCAAAGAATCGAAGACGACGCTCCCTCTCGGATTCCTACTCTTAGGAAGAACAGTTGGCAAAATTAGAATAACAGAAAAAGGCATCCTCATACTTAAATTACTCAGCCTATTTCTCAGAAAGAACACAAAGATAACTATATTGCCTGCTGGTCGCTAGTTACAGCCAGCTACTGGGAACTGGAATGTAACTTCTTCAGAGCACGGGTTCATTGTTGCTGCAGCTTTGCAGTACTTAGACGGCATGATGGATTCATTCTGAGTCACCTGCGTCCATAGTTCTGGCATATTTATCTATAGTGAAGAATCACTGAGACAACAAATTGATAGCAGAGAAGCCACAAGCCCTAATGGAAATTAGCACATATTCCTCCGAATAAATCAAATTCACACAACGAAAACCAACCCAACAGGCAACAATGGAGGCCAAAACCTGAACAGATACTCCAAAGGCACTTTCGGTTGTTGTAAACTCTCCAGTATATGTTAACAGTAAGGGGGAATAAGTGAGTGTAAGGAAGGGAAATTGTAACATCACGGCTCTAAAACAGCTACAAATCAGGGACAAGGAAGCTTCACGAAACTCATGAATTTCATTTCGCGTTCCATTGTCGAAGGGTAGCTTTTTGGAAAGCAGGGCTGTCTTTGATAAAAGACAGTGAGACAAATACTACTCAATACTTGGAATGAGCAGCACTTCGTCTCAATCCTGCCGTCTATTCGAGGGCCAGAAAGCCACGAAAGGGGAACCCTTACCGCTGAAAGTAATATGAGACTTGAAGAACTAGCCAGTTCGGTTTAATAAAATTTTAAAAATATCCAACAACCGAAGCACAATCACTACTACCGCAACTTCAAATGATCTTCCAGCCTAGCTGAACACAACCACCTCAGTGGATATCTTCAAGACGAGACTTGATAAACACGTACTCACATACGGTTTATTTCCCCCTTGACCAGCAGTGCTTGATTCATGAATCGAAAACTTTCCGGTTGTTGTTGTTGTCACTTCATTAAATCCTTAACTTATTCCCTCTCACCCATTGCCATCTCTTCTTCCTGATTTATGCTCATAGTCCGATTAAACCACACTGTCTTGAATACTGACTTATTTGTTCACTTAGTGCTGAAATATTCTCATTAGCAGTAGAATGTTCTCCTTAATATTTTCCGTCATGGAAGTGTGACATCTGCTGGTATCCAGCAGTCCTACTGCTCTGAGACACGGAACATACAAATTCAGAAATTTCTGCCAAGTGACTAGAATGTTCGCAGTCGATTGGCATTAGTGCCATCCATTGGACACTACCAAATACCTTCAAGCTTGCTGACAGAATAAGGGGCGAGAGCAAAGAAGTCATTCGGCTTATACTAGCTCTTGAAAAAGTTATTGGATATTGGAAATGTTACAACCAACAAATATTTGGCTATTGGATTATTGAATCAATACGTTGGAGGCGGTAGATTAACGTGGATGAACACTTTACTGTAAAGCGGGCTGTTTATAGCTGTTAGCCGTGGTGTTCTGTAAGTTATTTATGACGTACAGATGGCACTGTCTTAAGCTTACTGTAGGAAATCATGTTGTCCGAATTGTGGCTGATCTTTCTGCTCTCGCACTTGTATTATTAATTATAACCATTGGTTTTTACTAGCTCGTGAAAAAGGTATTCAATATTGGAATAACAGAGGGTACCAATATCGCATGTTACTTATTGCTTTGTCTTACTTTACTAATACTTTCATCATGAGTAATTCATGTTGACTTTCAAGAAGGAAATATAACCTTATCTGCATGTACAGAAATAAATTAGGACCTATAACGTTTGTAGTTAAGTGAATATTCAGATTCAAGCATGTTTTCTTAATTATAATAGTCGTGACTCACGATTTTCCGGACCTTTTGATTTCCTTCTGGTTCAAAACTAATAGAACAAAGAAAAAAACAGGAGTAAGACTACCTATCTCAAGGACTCCTATTGCTTTCCGGCTAAACACGTGTCCCGATTTCGACTTCGATCGTCACAAACCTTACAAGGAACTATTATCAATGCAAGAGCTGCTACTTAACGACAAAACCTTTATTCTAGTAAATCAACTGGTTTTTCAAATATATTAGGTAACATGGTCCATATATGACTGAATACCAACCTCATCTCTTCTGGCTATCAAAAGCACTTAAAACGCTTTTGTTAAACTAGAATCCATCTGATCAGCAACTTGCATTGAAATATCTAGCATATTCCACTATTGATCTAGAATTCTGGATATTTTACCGACTGTTTATTCCGGGGAAAGTGTCCACTGATAATGTGCAAACGTTTTTTGGAGAGCAGATCATTCTGATTTCATATACTTGAAAAAAATTTAACAGTCTCACTTATTTCTGTGATTTTAACCGAGTAACCGCTAGGATTCGTAGTATTTCACACCATGCATGATACGTAAATGTGCACCTGTTTACTGCTATCAACAGCCAGATCAAATCTGTTGCTTTACACTCTCACTTAAATCTGTGCTTAAGAAGAAGCACGTGTTTCAACTGCGTACAAGATCCAGGCTTCTAATGTATACCATATGAAACCTGTTTTTCGCAAACTCCTCGTAATATCCTAATTCGCACTGATACCCATTTAGTGAATATTTCTAAGTACAGTGTAAAATAGTACAACGGTAAAATAAATGTATAAGATAGACTCATTTAATTGGATTAGAGAATCGCGCATTTCGTTACACTATGTAGTTTTTCCGAGACCTGAGTATGCTGTTGTATCATTCATGTTGTCCGTCTTCGGTATCAAATAAAATTGTTTGGTAGACTTAAGATCCTGAATTAACCGCTCAGTTAAATTTACAGACAATTATTGAACCTTTCCACATTTAGTTGACTTCCTACCAATTATGAGTTAGGAAAACATCCTCATCATTTGTTTAGAATATACTTGACCGAAAGTCATTAATTTCTGCGAAGCTTTGTTACTTGGGTAGGGTTTCCTCAATACAAAACGTTCCGAGCTTCTCTAATTTACATTTGTCCGGATTACTTGTTGACACAAGTGTAATAATTTCACTTTTCATAATCTAAAAAAATTCTTAGGACTGGGCTGTCGTTAGGATCAAATGCAGCATGTATATGCTCTGCACATTCGATGAAGTAGTTGTCTCGATGTTTAGCTGTCCATAGATTAGACTTCCAAATAATAATGGTTTATCTACACTTGTCTGTTTCTCAATTTTTAATGTATTGTCAAGTATATCATTTTATAATTAAGACCTATTATATCCTGCTTTCCCTGAAAATATGCGGTTCTCATCTTTGGTTTTTGTCTTAGTCTAGTTACCTACCAATGGACTTTTTGAATTGGCTCAGTGGGTTGAAAGGAGATTCTAACAATGATAATCAGTTAGACTTTTCCTTCTTGTTTCCTGCAACCATTGGGGTAGGATCAATTGTCATTTGCCTTGTTGCCCGCTACCGGAATGAGTTATTCAATTTAAAATCGACAATACACCGAAATACAAAAGATGAGAACGTTTCTTCACGTCGGGCCAATTCCCACTCCAATTTTAAAAAGAAACCTAAACATTCCAACAAATCTGAACCAAATACTTCTCAAACTGGAAAAATAGAAAATCCACCACCACTTACGGTTGAAACGCTAACTCCAGTCGTACCTGTTCAACAAACAGAATGTGCACTGATTCAGCCTGTTCAAATTAAACAAGAAACAATAATTGAGGCTACTGATGGAATTGAAGCTGAGTTCTTCAACCCTGTTTCGAAGAAACAGAAAAAATCTAAACGTTCATCTAAGACGAAAGATACACAAAACCATGGTTTAAACGAACAAACTGAAATTGATCCGGCGTGGGTTACAGTCATCTCAAAAAAGGTAAAACTTTCCAACCGAAATACTCAGAAGAAAAAGAATGTGGATTTTGAAGGTAAATTGATTTCGTATTCTACATTTTATCCAATTATTATCGTCAAATGTTTGTATGATTTACTAAGGTAGTTTTTGTCACTTGATTTCATCCTGTCGATTTATTAAAATATAGTCCCAAGCTACTTAGTGACGCTGCATTTACAGACTTTCAATGTCATCCTGCCTGACACACCCTCTTCATTTTAATTGTTTAGGCAGTTATCAAAAAAACATTTTTCACATGTAAAACTTTTACCAGTGATTAATCAGTCTTGAATACGGTCACAATATTCAGCTGACATACATGTCACAAAATTGTGTGGTTTTTAAGGTATTAATTACTAAGTAGGATAAAGTGGCACATCTATTTTCCTCTACTACCTTAAAACTTCCTATCCTATCTCAAGAACGAGAGCGAACATCACTCTCGTCCCTGAAAAGTAGTGTGGATAAAACACTTGTTGTTCATCACTTGCTTTTATGATAGTATCGGACTCAGGATTGCTTGTAATACACTAATATACCATCTTACTCAAAATTCTCCGGGCTTTAAAGTAAATAAGTATCAGAGAAATCATTTATGAGACCCCTTAATTATTAAACTCGCGTATCGATTATTTGAAGCTAGTGAATTTCCATCTCCCAAGAAAAACGGTTTTGACTCATATCGTTTCCATGTGGAATAAAGCTTTTGCATGCAAACTGATTATAATCAATACCAAACTTTTTTTCTATTACTACTTTTCTCTTATTCACTAGCTTATTTTACTTGTTTTATCTCTCAGATCAATCAATTCCGGAAAATTGCTCACCCTCGATTCCTTTTATTGAATCACCATCCAAAAATAATAAACAAGCAAACAATAAGCAACACGAACGATCCACTAGCATAAATAAATCTGGCTCTTCCGTTGTGGAAAATAAGGTTTGTTTTCTTTTATAAATTTGATTATATCGTTTTACACATGTTTCCTAGTTTTAAAATATTATTTGGTCATTTATTACATCTTACTCAAATAATTGCAGAAATGGTAATGTTTCCTTTAAATAACTGTTTCAAACAGTCATGTGCCTCAATATTTATGGAACTTTAAAACAACTAGGTTATAAGTGTAAACTTGTACCACATTTGGTCTATTGGTATGCTTTGATATTGATATGCTTTCAATGTAGTGACCATAAACTACGAAACAGAAATATCTCTATTGAAACAACTCTCAGAAGTCTGAAACTTCTTCGATACGGTTTTATTCAGATATATAATTTCCTTGTCAAATAATTTTTTCCTGTTGTCGAAAATAGTTTTCTCAGCCAGATACTACATATGTACCTATTATCCCGTCTGTTCTTGTTTCGTATAATGCTAAATCACGTTTATTCTTAAAAAAGAAGTTGACTTACACATTATTCATAACAGCCTTGAAGGTTGAGTACCCTTATCGTCATTGTTGTCGTCAGTATGTTGAAACAGTCGTTCGTATTTTTGTCTTCTTAGTCTTGTTTTTGCGTGAAAACAGACCGCTAAAGAAATACAGTATGCATCTATGTAGTGTGTTGGTGAGAAATTGCTTTAAGTCTTCGTAATTTTTTTTAGTATTTTCACTGCTCAACAAACATGAAAGCTGGTTACGTCCTACGTTAGTCTTTGAATATAACACTTAGATTTTCTAATATTGACCTCGTATATTTGATAGATTCGTATGCAATTTCGTTTAGTATTTGAGGCTTTATCATTGTTTGCTTAATCGTAACTAATCCAAACATATAAGTATCCTACAACTACTTGTCTCATGGTTACACTTCACTTGATTTCTTTCCACATCAGGTGGTGCTAATTACAGATGTCTCATATTACATTATTGGTTAACTCGATATCGTTATGTTTTATGCAACTAAACAATCATCCGTTTATTTGTTTCATGTTTTTTGGACTACTAGTCGATGAATTTAGAACTGCACACAGACCAATCACATCCTACTGATCAGTTAAAAGCTCCTGCTCAAATCCAACCTATAAAACCGGAGCATAATGAGAATACAAAGTTGAGTAGCGTAAATTCAAATCCTTCAACATCTTATGAAGAGTTGTTGTACAAAAATCTTGGTGCTGAAACAGTGACAGCCATCCGATCACTTATTCTGAATAGTGAAGCCCATACATCACGTCCTGCTGAAACCTCTCCTTCATGTGATGGAATAAGTAAACAAGTGAGTTAGTCAGAACATTTGTTTCGATTCACCTTAAAATATATTCACACATTCATTAAGAAAATATTCTCTTTGTCGTCCATGTAGCTGTTTAAAATTTTCTAAGCATGGTGATATTCAATGGGATGGTAAAGTTTCATTCGTTTACATTCATTCAAAAATCATCAAGTTTAAAAAAAGAGTGGCAGATAATAATTTAGTTCATTTCAATCACAAATTTGTATTTTTTAAAACGCTTCAATGCACTAGTTTTAAAACTGTAGTGGGATGTGAGAAAGATGTATCGCATCAGTTCTGTTTCATTTGCTTTGTCGTATGCTTGTAATTATTCATATTGAACAGTTTCTGATAACCTGTTACTACATTCGATGATACTACGTTACCTTTACTGTTGGTTTTTTTTATTTATACAGAAAACAACGTCTGCATCTTCTAAAGATACAAATCATCTCCCTTCAACAAGTGAACTCTTATCACAGCATCTGACAGCCCAATTAGAAGCTAAAGAAGCTGAATGTCAGGTAGGAAAATATTACTATACATGTATTTCATTGGACAATATAAATGATAAGCCTTTATAAATTTATCGTAATAGTATGTAGACTTTTAGATTCAGAATCCATTCCTACATATCGAATCGATTTCAGACAACCCGATGAAACTCTCTTGATCATTTGGTTAGAAGGTTTTATTCACAAAATAATTGAGTATCTTTAGGAAATGTATTTTTACGTAAGTTTCTGTCATTTGTCGATTTGAAATTCTGAAATCGGTGTATACCACCGATCTAGAATCAAAGTTTCTAAACTACCAAATGTGAATTCTCAATATTCACCAACTATAGGTCACCGTCCTATTTCTTTTGTATGAACACTCCTGCCGCCTAACGACAGTAGATGACACCTTACTCGAAGTAATCTTGGATTTCCAGTTGTTAGTATGAACATTTTACAGGAAGACACTTGTACTAATGATTGAGTCTTGATAAATTTTTCCTTGTGCGCTTATATAGTAAAGTAACTTTAACCAATGAACATTTTTACAAGGTTCTACGTTTCACCGACTTACCTTACATAAGAGATATTTTATTACATATCATATTTTATATCAAATTTACTTGTAATTGTACTGCTACTTAGCAATACAGACTGATCACTAGCAAGTCACAACACTCAGAACATGTAAAACAAACATTCTGCTTCTTAGTACTTAGCCCAACTTACTCATCCAGTGAAATCCCCTATGTAGATATGTACTTCTCATACAGTAATTAAATTAAACAGAATAGTCTACATCCATTTGCAATCTAGAAAGATTTAGCCCATCTATATATCTGATAATTTATTATGCATATGAGAGTTTCAAAAATGGAAATCATTGTTAAACGGGTAGCTATTTTGTTGAAATAGACGAATTTACAAATGGAAGCAATGTTAATGTTTAAAAAATGTTTCAGATCTAAATTGTTTTCATAACAGTTTGTATCAGTTTCTTTTCTTCCTATGTATAATTTTTTATTAACTATAATTCACTCTCACTTAGTCATGGAATTAAAGTCATCTAGTTTAAAGTATCTTTTGTGGTTCTTTTTTCACACTAAAAGAAATATTTGTTTTTATGTTTGACTTCATTGTTTATTCATATAGTTGGTTATTTTTTACATTTGATATGTATTTGAAATCTATTCCTTTTACTGAGATTGTGTTGTTTAAATAGAAATCGAAAGAGTTAATTTAACATATCTAATAGCAATGATTTATATGTAACACTAATTGATATACACACTTATTTGAATGTTTTACAAACAATTTATTACTTTTTATTACATTTTATTCATCGTAGATTTTACGTACTGAAGTTGTTCATTTAAGAGATGAAGTAAAAATACTTAAAACTTTAGCTGTCAATCGTGTACCGGTTCAAAAGTCTACAATTGATGCTGAAACTATGACTGATCCAATGTAAGTAATGTATTACTTTTCTAATCAACAATAATAATCATTATTATCATAAAAAAAAAATAATAATAATAATAGTGCAATAAATTCCACGTTTAATGTTTGTTTTCTATAACTATTCAAAAAAACTATTGAAATCTGAGATGATGGAGAAAATTTGTAGCTCAGGTGGATGATTATTGTGGTGTTTCGATCTCTCAGCTGGATCTTTTGGTTGTGGAGCTTTCGTTGTTCTTCTGAACAACATCATCAGCCGGATGTTGTCGGATAGAAGTTCGAATACTTCTCAGAGAACGAAACATCACAACAATATTGAAATATATCCTATCAGTGTTTACTTGCTGGACTGTAAATGTTTTCGACTATTTTTCGTATCGCCATAATTTGTCAAATGTTTCTACAGTCCTTATATACTTTCTCATCGTTCTTTCAAAGAATAAAAATGAAAGAAGACAAAACTATCCTAATCACTCAGGTATTTCCACTCGTCTCTTCACACTGTTCAACATCATGTATGATACCATGAGTCGATTTCGTGACCCATATGTACTATATTTATTCTGTTAACACACATCTAAAGTAGGAAAATTCATCACAATAGTTTAACAGTTTTAAACTGGACAGTACAAATATATAATCAAATTAGTCACTTGTTTTTAATCGCTACCGAACAGTTTCTTGACTCATTTGTCTCTCTGCATTTTAACCTAAATTCTAAATGGAATGGTTAAGATTTTCTAAAAATTATGACTTTTAGTTTCCCAAAAATAAAACGTTTCGTGTCTTAAGATTATAAATACCAAAAATAAAAATAAAGTTTTGTTAATTTTCATTTGAGCTTGCTTACTGAACGACTATTTACCGAAATCCATAGACCGAGGGAAACAGTTCATAATTCTAATATTTTGTCTAGATAGAATGAATGGTAATCTCATCTTGATGTTTGTTTTTCGCGTAAACGTTTCTCAACTCTCAACGTCAGACTTCGATGATAAATATCTTAATTTCTTAATTTCCCTATTTTTAGTGAATCACCTGATGTCAAATCCTCACTTCCTCCTCAACAGTCGACTGATTCAGATGCAGTTCTACTGTCGACTCTTCAAAATGAAATTGCCCGTTTAGTTAAAGAAGTGGTTATCTATCAACAACGTAGTGAAGTAGGTTACTAATTTGCTGTGCAATAATAGTCTGTGGTCGAATAGTTTCTTAATTTTAGTTTATTATATTTCAAAGTACTATGTAGAGACTGTTTTAAACTTTAGGTTTGCAGTAAATTTCGTCTGTGTTGTAAATTAAAGTTGTGATTTGATGAAAAAGTTATCCATTGTTAAAACTGAGAGAAAGGAGACCCGATCGGTATGAATCATATAGCAATGCAAAGTTTTGTAGATCGAATTGACATAAGCTGTCGAATGATTTGAAATCAAGGACATGGAGGCTAGCCAGAATAGTAGGTATTCTGTGTGATGAAATGACGTGCCTATATGAAAAATATTAACACAAAATAATTGCATTTTTATAAATATTTTACTATCTAGTCTCGTTTCCATCACGGATAATTGGTTTACTTCATTGACAGACATCTTCAATATGTTTCTAGTATCATAGCACCAACTCTTATATTCTCTTAAAAGCGTTTGGCAAAATGAACCTATTGGATTTAAATCATACAGGAGATCGTGTGCATTACTAATTTAAATATAGTAGCAAAACTATGATGATATTATTTCCCTTTCTTTTATCATATTATTTTCATTTTTTTTCTTCCCAAAACTGTCATTACACACAGTTCCGAATATTTACGAAATTTTAATTTTCTGTTTGACCATCATAATATGTGGGGTCAGTCAATCTGTTAGCTACAACATATTATTCAGTTGAAGCATACAGAGCTGGGATTGACAATTCAAATCGTACAGTAGTGGAGATAAAGGAAGTGTATAAGCAGTAATAGAGAAGATTAGGGTTCGATGATATAATTCAAGAAGTATAGTATAGTGAAATATCATTATGACGAGAAAATTGATCATAAGAAATCCAGAAGATTAGAATTCACGTGAAGAATAAAGAATCGATACACCTGTCATTATAATATACAGTTCCAAATATTCAAGAAATTTTAATTTTCTGTTTGGCCATCATAATATGGGGTAGCGATTTCGGAATTTTGAGGTAGCCCCCTATTGCGTACAATAGTTTTTTTGATAATCTTTCCAAAAATTTTCTCTATATTTAATTAATGAATTAATTTCTTTTATAGAATTTGAAGAGTCGTTTGGATACAGCCAACAAGAAACTATCCGATTCAAAGTCTAAAGCCGCTGATGAAACTAAACTACTCCAGCAAACTTTAGATTCACAATCGGAGAAGTTATACAATCTCACGTCTGAGAATAGTCGTTTAGAAAAAGAATTGAATGATATGCTACAGAAAGCTGAAATTCATCATCGAAAATCTGAGGTCAGTTAAAATGACATCATTAAAAATTCTTGTTTATTTAGTAAATCAACCATGCATTTATGTATATGTATATTACTCCACGTTCTAGTTCGTATGATCATGACTCTTCAATGTTTCGTAATAGATCAAGTGGAAGTTAAGTGTTGGTGTAAAGATGATATCACGAGATATTCTGGTCTTCAATCACACTAACACTATTAGTGTTCTTCCAAATATTGTTATTATCATTATTATTACTATTCTATGCTAAATCTGTTGGCAATTTTCTATGATTAAAGTTTAATATCTTATCGGAACTTAACATATTACCTACATAATTGTGCATGATTATTATACTTTTAATTCACGTTTATTACTATTATAGGTCAAGGACACTAATCAATGTTAAGATTTCATTTCATGCATTCGTTTACACCCAATGTTGTTGACTCATCTAAAATATACACATATACAATTATTTAATAAGTGAATAAATTCAGTCGGCCTTTTAAGTTAATCCTGTTTAACAACGTTAATATGTAACTAGTACTACTATCTATCTAATGTTTACCTAACTTTCGAATTTGATATATATATATATATATATATATATATATATATATATATATATATACGGTCAGTGTAATTTAACTCGTTAGTTAATAACAATTGACTTCATTATCTCGGATGGCACTGTAGCTAAATAAACCTTATGACTTAACCTTTATTTAAGATGATCGAATGATTAGTAATGGTGAAACGTTTCTTGCTTCTAATATTTGAATTTTTACAAATAAATACTGTATATAAGCTGATCCGTTTTTCATTGAACTCTTTTTCACATGAAACAGGAGTAACATGTTATTTGTTAAGACTAATTCATAACGACTACAAATGCAAAAAAAAAACAGTTGTAACTTTTATTGTTCTATGATTAATTGAAAGTTGCTACAATGTTTTCTATGTTTAATTGGATACATATTGTCCTTCTGGCATTAACATTAATTACTGTGTGTTTCATGTGGACATAATATAATAATTCACTTATGCGCATACTATGCATCATTCTATTAATGAAATAACAATCGGTAATACTGTTAATTAGACAATTCAATTTCTGTCCACTATGACTTATGAATTAATACATGTATAAAGCTCAAATAAGGATTTTAATCGTGAAAGTATCAAATCGTAGTTACATACAATTATTCTATAGGTATTTCTGTTAATAATGGTAGTACTACGTTAAGTAATAATTACACAATTTAGATTTTGATAACAATCAACATTGATAACCTAGCTTAATTTTATTTCAATTTTCGCTCCTGTCTTGTTTTTATGGGCACATTAACTTACAAATTCGCACCTGAAAAATGTACTGATCACACATTTAGCTATATATACTATCCGATTTCAGCTTTCATGGTTTTTCGCCACTCAGTTGATGAGCGTAACATGATGAATGATGAATTATATATTTGTGTTAATTTTCTGTCGAGATCTATGTTCAATGAGGGAGTAACTAACCTGTGTATGTCGTTATAAAATAATCACACTGAAAGGAATTTTGTCCTAATTTTCTGCATCTTTTGTTTTTAGGAAGCTGAACACAAACTCACTCAGCGTTTGGAAGAACTGGAAGTACTCCGAGTAGACAATTCATCTTTAAAGAAAAAATATGAAGTAAGTTTAAGCTATGTACACATACATAAAATCCACTTTTTTTTAAAACAAAACGGATTTTTAATCAAGCTGTAGTTTACGTAACCTCCGCATGAATTAGATAGTCATAGCTGTTTTTAGAGTTCAAGGAGAGGTCATCGGGTATTTATGAGAGATAATTATTGGTCTAAACGTGATAATGACGTGCCAAGACTTAACGATAGAACATGTTGTACATTGAAAAAAAATCCAGCCTTTAGAAATATATCAACTGATAAAACATACGTTACAAGCTGCTACCTTATACTCATTTTGAGAAATATCTAATGAAAGGGAGTTACCAGCGAAATTCTTTTATATCAATCAACTTTGATCACAATACCTTCAATTTTATATTAGCCATAAGGTTAAGTTTTGATCCCAAAAACATTATTATATCCACTGTTTTCTAACTTTAGACATTGGAAAATGAAAACCGTGTAATTCGTGAAGAAAAAGACATGCTCACACGTAAATGTGACGAATTAAGTAATAAACAATCTGTAAGTCTCTATTTTGTTCTATATGATTAAGTTGATGATCAAACTTATGTACATATAGTTATTTCATATATACCATGTAAAATCAAGAACTTAAGCAACAGCGATTCGAAACTGTTGGTACACAAACCTGTACTTGGTCACATGATCATGTAGTTCATATAAATGGTTCTTTCCGATTAGTTATTTGGGACATAACGTAAGCACGTGAGCTTTCGATGTGAATTATGTGATATTGTATTGATAATTTGAGTAAACTAGTCTATTCTTTGGTCTAACCCTAACTCTAACGAGTACTAGGTAGGGGTGGCAGGTCAATAGATGAAGTATTGAAACTTCATCAATTGAGGTAGTTAGGACATGTGTTACGTATGCCTACCCATTGACCGCGAGATGATAGTATCCGATGGTTAGAGTTCTGAACGATATGGTTGAAAATCATTTGCAATATTGCAAGTGCATCCACTCTTTGTGTTCTCTCAAATTCTAACGTTCTGAATTCCTCATCATCTCTATCTTTCTCTTTTTAACTTTATCTTACTGAATTATACTTCTCGAATAATATCTTCTAACCCTAGTCTTCTCCATAACCGCTAATATTTCTACTATCTCTTCCACTATGGGATTTGAACTGACAGTTGCGTCTCTGTGCTGATGGTGTATGGCAATGTGAACTTATGTACTCATGTACGAATTTCTACGTTGTAACTGACTGACTAACTAAACACATGTTGAACACTTAGTTAATATTCCTTAAGTGAACAGTAATGAGTTTAATCAAACAAATCCTGACCCATCTCGCTATTTCTTGCACCAAAAACAAGTTAACCAATTCTAATGGTATTCCGTCAGTTTAATGCCTTCAATTATTAATATGATTTTCCTTTACAATTGAATTTTTTTTCAAATCATCTAATGTTATTATGTTTTTTTTTTCTACAAACAAAATAGAGTATTCTCTCTGAATTAACTGCATCTCAATCACAATGTAATGTACTACTTAGACAAATCACTGGTTATGATGAACGTCTACGTCAAGTGAATGATCAACATCAATTGGTTGTTGATGATATGAAAAATCAATTAACCTCATTATTGTGTAATCATGAAACAAAAGAAAAATCTCATATTAACATGATTAATACATTAGAAACAAAATTAGACCAATTAACTAGCGAGAATAATGAACAGAATAAATTAATCAAATTATATGAGAGTGAATTAGAACATTTACGTATGATGGAAAAAGTTAAACTTGTTGAAAAAACCAATGAAGATAGATTTATGCAAACTGTTGATCAACATCAAAAGTAATCATTGTGTTCTATTTTTTTTGTTTTACAGTAGAGTTTTTTTGTATCAGTAATATAGAGAGTTAATTAACAAAAAAAAAACGGACCACAACAAACAAGTCGAATGTATGTATAAGTATGTGTGTATGGGGTATCAAAGTGAATGGATATTCAGGAAGAGAGTTGTTTACAATTAGATAGAATTAATTTTACTTTCTAGTTTTATTTTTATAATATCTCTCTACAATAAATTCTGTTGAGGATTCCTTTCAACTCAATTTACTGGTTATCAGTTACTTCGATTTAATTTTGTCTACAATAATGAATTGAAGTCGACAAAGATATC